TCACGAATTCTTAAGATAATGTCTGTATTCCCCCCCAAATCTAAAAAGATTTTTTTTGCTTGCAGTCCTCAAGACAAAACACAAAGCCTTCATATTGATATATATCCCCAATGCTTTATTTTCTTCTTTTGAGAGAGGGTCTCACTAAGCTGTTAAGATGTTCAGGCTGTGCTCAAAATTGCAGTCTCCTGTGTCAGCCTCCCATAGTGCTGGGCTGATAGATGTGCCACCATGCTGTGCCGTATTAAATGTTTTAACATGTAACAGATTCTGAACAGAGTTATTACCATCTCATTTAACTATGCCATCAAATCAGACACAAAATACTAAATGTAATTCATTTTCTAAGTGAATTCAGGTTATATTTCCTACGTATAAAGCGCAATCCTTTTGTTTAAAAATTAGAAAATATAAAATATTAGAAGATAACTAAACATAACAAACTACATGTGTAAAGTGATAAAAAATGTAAGCTTATAAATTTTATTGTAAAGAAAAATATTTTATGCCCCAAAGCAATAAGTTATAAGAAAATTTAAGCCAATTCAGTTGAGTCAATAGTATTGAACTCTTAAAATAAATATTTACCTATTTATAAAAGTAAATATATAGTCTACACTTTTGTTCAGGAGGTGAATATATATTTATAAATGATGGGACATAAACTTAAAGAAAAACTGGTGAAACTGATGTATTTATAAATTTTATATCTTTTTTTTTTTTTTTTGGTGGAATCAGGGATTGAACTCAAACCCTTGCGGCTTGCCAGGGAAGCATTTATTCTACTGAGCCACCTACCCGGCCCATGACTTTTGTATCATTTCTTCTCCAACTCTTCTTACCCAGTCTTAAGTCCTTCTTGGATGTATGTACTGTACTAAAAGATGTATATTATTCTAGTGGGAAGATACCTTCTGGTGGGAGAAGGAAAAGTGCATTCTAGGCAAAGGAAATAAACTCACAATATGCATCTTTGAACAATGTTAGGTAGGACTAAGTTATGCATGTGGGGAGGAATAGTTAAGAGAGCTACTGGAGTAGTCTACACAAGATTTCATGTCTCTGTGGTGTGAGAAACTAAAAGTGTAAATAACAGCCAAAATGTGTAATAGGAATTGTGAAACTGGACAAAATTGTTCAAAATGAAAAGGGAATAGGGTGAGGGTAAGGGGAAAAGAAGGAAGGGAAAAGAAAAAAATGAGAAAAGGATAATATGAAAACAAAGCTTTGTAAATAAGGAAGGGAAGGAAGGTTGATGGGAGGGGAGGGGAATGGCAAGAAAGCAGAATGAAGATTTATCATATACAGGTACAAATTCCCTATGATGAATATGATCATTATGTATACCTAAAATATACCAATAAGCTAATAAACTTAATAAAAACAAGATAAAAAAAATGATGTTGAATCTGATCTTCATCCCACTGGCCACTTGCTTTCACAATGTATAGAGTCTATAGAGCTTGACTGGTTTGAAAAACAGTTGATGTTTAAAATACATCATTTGATGTTTAAAATTCATTATTTCATTATCTTCTAAAACCCTACTAACTGTAGATACTGTTCTTAGCCAGTGACTACAACAGGTAAACATCACTTATATCATATCATGGAACTCATTTTTTCACATAAAATAAAAAATAAACACATATTACACACATGAGGTGACTAGCATTAAGAAGATGAAGAAAAGCACTTGCCTACAACCCCAGCTATTTAGGAGCCAAAGAAAAGAGGATCCCTGGTGTTTAAGTCAGGTCAGGCAACCTACTGAGACCATTCCTGAAAATAAAATTCTAAAATGATCAGGGAGATAGAGTCCATGCCTAGTATGAAAAGAAAGAAAAAAAGGGGCAGAAGGGGCAGGAGGAGGAGGAGGAAGAGGAGGAAGAGAGAGAGGGGGAGGAGGAGGAAGAACAAGAGGAGAGAAAAGCAAGGAAAGAGCACAGAGAGAGGAAGGGAGGAGAGGAAAGGAAGGGAGACAAAGGAAGGGGAAGGGGTACAGGGGAGGGGAGGAAGGGAGGTTGGTTAGTGGGGGAGGTTTACTCATCAAAAAGTTAGCATCTGACCAAAGACTGGTGGGATTTAAAAAAGAAGCCATGCATATATTTGTTATTTCGAGCAGAAACATTAAAAGCTGAAGCCATCAGAAAGACTAAGACCATGCAGGAGCTGTTCCAACTGCCCAGGAAAAGGAAGGATAATTTATTGTTTTTACATGGAATAATCTGAGCCATCAGATGACTTTCTCTCTATAGTCAGCTATAAATCTAGATGCTTTACTATCTCTTCAGAAAAAGCAGTTTCTAAAATTACTTTCTCAGAGATCTCTTCTCTCTCAAAATATTCTAAAGATAGTAGTATTTTCACTGAGGGAGAAATCTAAAAGTATGGAAATAACTGTTGTTAATGTCTCATAAAGAAATTAAGCGAAAGTCAGTTGTATGAAATAAGTCCAATGACAATTTATTTTGTAACTGGGTGTATAATCCCAGCACTTTAGGAGTCTGAGGCAGAAGTGCTACAAGTTCAAAACCAGACTGGATTATACAGTGAGTTCAAGGCCAGTCTGAACTATATAGTACAACCCTATAGGGAGAACCAGTCTCAAAAACCAAAACAAACAAACATGACTTCATTTCTTATTTTTAAAATTTCTACTTTAAATGAAAATATACAATGCCATCTCAGAAAAAAAGCCCTATCTTCAATTTCATTTTTTGCACATTTCCTTCTCTGTCCTGTTCAATGTTATAAATGCCTGTAGTCTCAGCAGTTAGGAGGCTGAGGTAGGAGGATGGCTGTGAGTTTGTGGTCAGCCTGGGCTACCTGGTGACTCAAGGCTTCCCATGAATAAACATTAGTTAACTTTTCAGAAGGGCAATTTAGCATAAATGCCCATCAAAGCTTTAAAAATGTTCACACCCTTTGAGTTAGAAATTGTATGCCTAAGAACTATCTTTAAAGAAAAGTGGATCTATTTTAAAGATTTACTTAACTCACTGAAAAAGTATAGTGAAAAAAAAGAATAAAAAGTTTAATAATAGGGTTCATAAAATAATTAAAAGAATATTCTGTGATTATGCAACCATCAACAGCAATGAACTAACCACTGACAGTCCTTTTTGGTCAACTGTGGTATGCAGTTTGTAAATGTTGGAGCTAGTCCCGCTGTGCCAGTTCTGGAGTTTTTTTCTCTCCTCATATCTAGTAAGTGGGCTTTAGATTATCTATCTATCTATCTATCTATCTATCTATCTATCTATCTATCTATCT